GGTGTGGAATTGAATTATGGTGCAGCTGGGGTTTACTTAAGTCAGAGAAAATATATTCTTGATATTCTTGGGGATATGAATATGCTTGGTTGCACTCCAGCTCCTACACCTTTGCCTCTTGGAGTTAAGCTTAACTTGCACTCAGGAAAGCCCATGTCTCAACCAGACACTTACAGGAGACTCATTGGCAGATTATTGTATCTTGGTTTGACAAGACCAGATGTTACCTATGCGGTTCAACAACTTAGTCAATTCATTAATGACCCTCATGAAGATCACTGGTCTGCAGCCTTACATGTGCTCCGATACTTGAAGTCAGCTCCTACAATGGGTTTATTTTATCCTAAGCAGACAGGTTCTATTACTCTCAAAGCCTACTGTGATGCCGATTGGGCTACCTGTAAGGATACTAGACGATCAGTCACAGGTTTCTGTATTTTTCTTGGGGACTCCTTGATTTCTTGGAAAAGTAAAAAACAGAATACCGTGTCCAAATCCTCAGCCGAGGCTGAATACCGAGCCATGGGTTCCACAGTGACAGAGTTGATCTGGATTGGTTTTCTTGCTCAAGAGTTTGATGTACCACTCATTTTTCCTATTCCTCTTTGGTGCGATAATCGTGCTGCCATGCATATCACCTCTAACCCTGTTTTCCACGAGAGGACGAAGCATTTGGAGATCGATTGCCATATTGTTCGAGACAAGTTCAAGCAAGGCTTCATTGCACCTCACTATGTGCCTTCCCTCTTGCAGCTTGCCGATTTGTTCACCAAAGTCATCACGGGTGCCCGCTTTACGTCGCTGGTGAGCAAGTTGGGCATGTCTTCTCCACCTTACGGCCCAACTTGAGGGGAGGGTGTTGGAATTATTGAAGGCATTATTGCTGCATTGAGTTTTATCTTTCTTTATTGTTGTTGTTTTTAGTCATAGTCGTGTTTGCGTTTATTTTGTTCAGACTTATTGGGTGCGACGTCGTTTTGGGTTTACTTGAAACGATGCCGTTTTACTTTGCTTTGTCGTGTTGCATGAGAGTGTATATATACACTCTTTGTGTTCGTACTCTGTAATTTTTGGACGATAAACTGAATACAGGAAAAATTTTCCCAAATTATTCTTTCTCTCTCTACAAATTCAACATGGCTTAATGGCCACTTGGGCTATGAGCCGAACGAGATCATACTCGTTATACTTGAGCTCGACTTGGTAATTAAATGAATTCAATTCTCAACTCTTTTATCCCTATTAGCAAACTGAATTTGAATCTTAACGAGTTGATCTAAACTAAATATTTAAGAAATTATGTAAAATCTCATATTCTCGAGTATAGCCTAATTTGAGTCTTGGTAAATTGGCCTGAACTCACGACTGATTAATTTCATTTAACAATTGTAATATCTACATATTCACACATGCACACACACACACACACACTCCTTCGGTTTCGTGGTATTTGTATATGAAACAAGCCAAGTCAAATCAAACTCAAGCTTAATGAGTTGAGGCGAACTCACAAACGATTCATTTAATTTAACAGCTACAATATCCACATCTTCACACACACACACATACACACTCATTCAGTCATTTGGGTGTGTGTGGGATTTGTATATAAAACAAGCAAAGCCATGTGAAATGCTAGTCTTAATAAAATCGAGTTGAATTCACGAACGACTCGTTTTATTTAACAACTCCTTTTGATATGTATAGCATTTATATATCAGACAAGTCGAGACAAGTCAAACTAGAGCATTAACAAATCAGGTTCACGAGTCACTCGTTTCATTTACGCGACACAATTAAGATTCCAAAATCCACACGATTACTATTGTGAGGAGGATGATACAATTGAATAAACCAAAATTTTTTCTTTCAAATGGAAAAGTTGCATGCAACTGTGTCAGTTGTGTCAAATCCCTTTCCAAGGATCTCCCAAAGGATCCACACTTCTCTTCAAGTCATTTTCCGTCTCACCTTTTGTGCCACATTATATGACAAAAATACCCATCGCCTCAAAGTCAATACACAGAATTGAGAGGAGAAGAAGAGAATTTTTTTTTTAAAAAAAATAAATAAATAAATAAATAAGGGAAAATGAAAATCCCCATCTAATTATTTAATTAGGTGTATTTTGCACATACAAATAACAAAATTTAATACTGATGGGACTAGTCAAGCATGTACGCCCTTTGTGTACGGCACCACCATTTTGCATGCTTTGTATTTTTACATCAAATCCGTAATAATCATCCTCATACACTCGTACCAAATGGATTGAAAATAAATGTCAAATTTTTTAAGTTTACCATTAAATTCTCAACTTTTTAATTGTGTTGCATGTTAAACTCCGATTGTTTTCTTACCTCCTTGTTGATGTATCCGACAAAGTGATGATATATCCTAACAACAAACCGACGTGGCTTTTATGTTTTAAAACACGCACCCTATACATTTTCACTTCATAATTCTTTCTTTCTTACACACTCCGCAATTCTGAAAATTTTTCCCATTGCAACCCCTAAATCGAGATTTTTCATTCCCAAATTTGAGGAGCTGGAAACATTGAGAGCCAATATCAACAAAAGAAGCAACGAGAACGACATACATTCCACAAATCTTAATTTAGTGTTGCATAGGGAAAGAAAATTAGGAATTGAGAGTGTAGAAGAAATGAAGAAAATATGAAGTAGAAATGAATATATGTATGTTTTAAGTCATAAAAAACTACCAACAAAGAGGATGTCGGAAAATTAATAGGAGCTTAACATGCAACACAATTAAAAAAAGTTGAGAATTTAATGACAAACTTAAAAAAGTTGAGATTTATTTACAATTTAGTACAAAGTCAGGATTTATAAAGCAATTAGACCTAATAATTACTACTATTATGATTACTATAATAATAATAAGAAAAAAAAAAAGAAATTGTTATTATTTTCATTTTTAATTTTATCTTTATTTTCCTAGAACAAATCTATCTAGAAGTTAAGATGGATAGAATCGAGTCGAAACAATCCGAGTCGAAATAATCGAAAAAATTTGGCTCCATTTTTGTTCGATTGTTATTATGTGTTGAGTGCAAGCAAAGCCATAGTTAAAGAGAGCATGGAGCTTACTTAATCCAGTCAAAGCAGTCAAAGCAAGCACTGCTAAGCATAAACAAAAATCCTGACAAATAGTGAGGAAAATAATGTCTGAATGCAGCAGGATTTCATCAGCCTCTCCACATGGGGTAGAACTGGAACAAGAATGTCATTTAGTACACACACACACACACACACACATGTGTGAATGAGAGGGCTCAAATTTTGTGTTAATTTTTTTTTTAAAAAAAAATTTGACATTTTTTGATATTATTAGTATAATAATTAATTTAAGTTTTTTTTAATTTTCTTTAAAATCCAGTTATAA